CTTAGGAAAATCCTGATTAGGTTAGCATTACTTTATTTGGTTCCCAGCTGTGTGTTCTACAGCAGCCCAGCATGAAAAGAGGCATGGAGTTTGGTGTGGGTGAAACAGAAAAAGGACCTGATTACTTGACACCTTTGTAGTCATTTGCAGCCATGCAAAGTGGGCGTAAGAGCCTTCCAAATCAATTCTCCACTCTCCCACACCCATTGCGCTACTCTGAACTTACTCTGTCCTGGCAAAAATGACAAAGTTCAAGATGGTGGAGATTTAAGCAGTTAGGAAAGAAGCAGCTATGGAGTGCGTAGAAACTGAAAAGCCGCCGTGCAATTAAAACTAGTTGGCCTTTTCTTGTTTCTTTGATCTGTAAGCACTGTACCCATATTTAATCCAAAAGTGGGACTAGAAATCCTGTTTCCAAAATTAAGAACTGATACATAAGGTCAGGAAAAATGTTACAGAAAGGATATCAGGGGAAAAGTTTTAGACTCGCACTATCAACTAAAAGAGCAGCTAATCCCTCATAAACACTTTCTAAGGGGATGCAAAGTCTCTGTGACACAAAAATCCTGTTCTTCAATCAGTCTGATAACATTCTGCCAACACGTACAATGGACATTCTGGGTTGAATTCAAGGGGGAATGAAAGACCGCAAAATTGCTGTTAAAAAGTAATGTCCTGAGGAGGCAAAAAAAGACGCCTGAAACGAAAGCTGGATTTTCATTACTAGGACTAGTGAGATAGCTTGCAAATTGAGAAACAGCAGACAGCTTTCAAATATAGGCATGTCAAAGTATATTCAACATGGAGGCTAAATAAAGTGCTTTACTATGAAAAATGAAGCGTCAACTCATTTGGTCTTCAAGAAGAACTCACAGCAGGTCCTAGAGAGGCTCACAGAAAGGAGGCAATGTCACATTTCTCAGATGCCATCAGCATCGTTTCTCAGAAACAGAGAAGTCAAATACTCACAAAAAATTCTGCCTGGAGTATGAAAGGATCTAGTGCTTTCTTGTGCAGCTCCTCTTCAGTAAGGATGTTTGTTGCTGTTTGGAGATATTCTCGGGCTGACTGTTCTCTTGGAGACATGATGTAGCCAAAGCCTTGCTCAGAACAGCCTGGAGTGCACATGTCCAGTGTGAGTGAGACATTCGACCCCCTCCTGCAAAAGAGGGCAGCATGTGAAAACATGAGGTTTGCAGACAGTGTGGAACACCCTATGATCATTGAAACACAATTACTTTTTATTTGGCTTCATTCACTTTCACTGGAAAGGCAAGGATGGCTTTGATGGTTTCAGCGGGGGTTTCTGAACTTTTATTAGAGGCTGCCTACCATAGAAAATGCTGACTGGTTTCTGACATTAGGCATCAGCAATTAGTCTAGCTGAATCAGTACTGAAGACAGTTTGGTGGCAATTGTAGGCAAATGTTCAGCATTTGGGATGCGGTTGGCCATTCTTGACTTGTGGATATTTGTTAGTGTAGGCAAGATCTCCTGCCACCAGTAGGAACATTTTCAAAACTTGAGGGACTATAGTTAGGCAGCTTTCTGCTGATTTAGCTACTGAAACAGAAGCAACCCTCTTCTCAAAGGCACTATGCAGACAGCTTCAGGGAAGGTGCACCAGTCTTCCCGCAATTTAGACCACACTTATCTGGATGCCTAAATATGGAGAGAGATACTTAATATTAGCCACCCACACTCGAAAATGTGTTTTTCTTTTTTATTAGGCCAGACCCATCTTCCTTATTTATGACAAACAATTCTTAAGTATTAGTCCAAGTGATGTAACTGGGGAAAAACAGTTACATATCCATACAACATGAGTATGGATATGGAAATCTAATCTCTTAGGATGGATCATCTCTTTTTGAAAAGGTTTTCCTCTGCCACAACAGAAGTGGATAAGGGGAAACAAATGCAAACCCCATCCCATTAACAATTATGTTAGTATAGCAACGATTATAATTTCTATAGTTTATTCAAGCAATAGAATGAAAATGTCAAAATGCTTTGAATTTGCTTTGAGGTAGCAGTAATGAAGGAGAAGTTTTATGTCTCTTGAACTGATCATATATTGCTGATTGAATAGATACAGATATAAAGCCAAATTTCTGATAGTTTCACAAGACACAATCAAAGATAATATTCAAATGCCCTCAGTGAATCTGTATTGAAAGAAAAGCTTTAAAATATAATACAATAAGCTGACCGCTCTGACTCTATTGTAATGCTCTATATATAGCCCTGTGGCAGACGTATTTGACTCCTTCTCAAACTGGCAGTCTGAGGCTACTGTGGAGACATGTTCCTTAGTTGCTGGAAGTAAATATATATGTATATTTGTATGTTTATGCATGTGTGTATATGTATGATTCAAGGGTGAAAGAGGAGCTCAGTCTACTGACCAAGTAATAGTGTTGCTGGTCACCAAAAGTCATCTGACCTAGCCATCTCTCTGAGTGAGAGTACCCCAACACAAGCCACACAGGAGAGACTGTGGATGAGACAAAAAACTGAAGTACTAAACACAGACTGTCACTGCATATTTAATGGTAATTTCCACAAAATTCTGGCACGTTAACTGAAATCCCGGTCAAATTCCAGTTCTGATAACTTATAGTTTACCTAATTAGAGTTTCTCATACTGTTTCATTTAAAGAAAGTCATTTTCACTCTCTGTCCTAACATGCTGTGTAGTGTTCCTGGCAGCTACATAAGGATGTGTGTGTTTTGTCACAAAAGTGGTTACATTCTAGTTGTGGCTATAGTAATTACAGTTCTTTCAAGATAATGGGGTCTACATATGTAAAGACTGTCATCTTTACCTTCACATACAAGAAAACTGGAGAGAATTCCTCCATCTTAAAAACAGAAGAGCGATGTTTGAAATTAGTGATAACAGTGATACAGAAATATAAATGCTATTAGAATGGATATTAGTGTATATTATCTATTTTATTCTTTCTTCTATATGTTATTTAAGTAATAAAATGAATGGAGTGCCTTTCTCGGGTATAAATGGCATATGGTTCAGGTGAATGAGTGGTGGAAATTGGTGAAGAGGAAGGATGGATAAGAGAAGGGGTGGACTGACAATTTAACACAATAACATGAGAATTGAGACTAAAGCTTGCTGTGAGTGAAACAGCACTCCGTTTTCCAAGCATGTGTTTATGTTGGGACTACTGGATTGTTTTATTTTCCAAATGTACACACTTTTTTTAGGAGAAGGACTCTTAGGCAGTTACCTCCTCTTAATCCAGAACAACTGATTTAACAATCTTATTACTGCTGCAAAATCTATATTGACGTTAATTACTTCTAATGAATTAAATTGGTTTGTACATTTCTTACTGGTGAGCTGTCACCTGACAAAAGAGCAGCAATAAATCTTTCTATGAGTAAGTGTGGAAAGTAATCAAGGGAAGGTGGCATGCACAGATGACCATACTGTTCCTGCT